GTTCAAAGGCATTTTGTTTCTCCTAAATATATTACCGGTGTGTTGACATCGGTCACACCTTTTCACGAATTCAAAAGTATCCTTAAATAGCGTAGGCCAGTAAAAACCTGATTGAAGGATTTTCGCCGCTGTTTTTAAAGCACCAAAATGCTCTGCGTATGTAGATGAATGACAATGTTCTAATATTAAAGGCACTTCTTCCTCGGGTACGCAATGACGAACGATTTAATCAGCTCCCCGCCTGTATAGAATGGGGTCCTCCCAAAAATAATACTTCAATTCAGCGAAAAATTTCTTCTTTTGGTGACTTGAGTAATCTGGCGGAATGATAGACCTGGCTAAGCAATTAACTATGTTAGCATACCAATCCGCCTCCCCCACACCAAAAATCTATTCATCTAGGAAGACTTCGTTGATTTCCACGGTCTCTGTCTATTCTATGGTCTCGAGTCGAGACAAGTGGTCTATCACCACGTTTTCACTGCTCTTCTTATCCCTGATTTCCAGATCAAACACTTGAAGTAATAGTATCCAACGAATGAGAAGTGGCTTTGCATCTTTCTTTTTCATTAAATACTTGATGACAGCGTGATCTGTGTAAACGATGACCTTTGACCCCACAAAATATGATTAAAATTTGTCAAAGGCGTAGACTACGACAAGGAGATCTTTCTCTATAGTGACATAGTTTAATTAAGCGTCGTTCAAGGTCTTGCTTGCATAGTAGATCACGTGAAATATCTTATTTCTCTGTTGTCCCAATACGGACCCAATAGTAAAATCACTGGCGTTGCACATTAATTCAGATGGCAAGTTCCAATCCGGTGTGATGATCACGGATGCTAAAATCAACGTCTCTTTCAAGGTGTTAAAAGTCAGCAAACACTCATCTGCGAACTTAAATGTGGATTCTTTCATTAACAAATAGCACAGTGGTTTAGTAATTTTTGAGAAATTCTTGATGAATCTTTTGTAAAACCCAGCATGCCCGAGGAAGCTATGAACACCTTTCACTGATTTTGGTGGTGGTAATTTCTTGATCACCTGAATCTTTGCTCTGTCCACCTCAATACCCTTTGTTGAGATTCTGTATTCTAAAACGATGCCCTCGTGTACCATAAAGTGACATTTCTCCCCATTCAATACCAAGTTGGTCTCTGTATACCGCTGTAACACAAGACTCAGATGCTCCAAACACTCATCAAACGAAGATGCAAACACTGAGAAGTCGTCCATGAATACCTCGATGAATTTCTCAATCATATCCGAAAAGATAGCCATCATGCAGTGCTGAAAAGTGGCAGGAGCGTTGCATAAACTAAAAGGCATCCTACGGTATGCGAAGGTACCGTTGGGGCATGTGAAAGTTGTCTTCTCCTGATCATCAGGCGCTACTGGAATCTGATTACACCCGGAGTATCCATCCAGAAAATAGTAATGCGAGTGCCCTGCTAGTCTCTCCAACATCTGATCAATGGACGGTAGTGGAAAATGAGCCTTTCGAGTAGCAACGCTTAGTTTGCGATAATCCATGCAAACTCTCCATCCAGTCACTGCTCTTGTAGGAATCAACTCATTTTCCTCGTTTTGCACCACAGTGATACCCCTTTTCTTGGGAACAACCTGCACTGCACTGATTCATACACTATCTGATATTGCGTAGATGATGCCTGCATCGAACTTCAATACCTCAGCTCTAACCACTTCCTTCATGTGTGGATTTAATCTCCGCTGACCATCGATGCTTTGCTTGAATTTTTTCTCCATGAGTATTTTATGCATGCATAGTGACGGGCTGATCCCCTTGATATCTGCAATTGACCATTCAGTGGCTGTTTTATTCTCCCTCAGCACCCGAAGTAGTCTCTCTTTCTCCACTTCACTGACAGTATTTGAAATAATAACCGGGAGTGTAAAAGACTCCCCCAAGTAAGCATATCGAATGTCTGGTGGCAATTGTTTGAGTTCCAACTTGGGAGGTTGCTGAATAGATGGCACTGACTTTGTAGTCCTA